GATTAGGAATTTCTAGGGATTTTTCTTGTTAATTTACTTGATAGCGGAATAAAAGAGCAGTCTATTCGTCAACACGCTATAATTGGGGATTTTTTTTTAGATTTAGGGTTTCTGGGTGTCAGAAAAGTTGCTATCTTTCAGAGGAAACTCTCTTCCTATGTCTTGTTTTCTTGTGATTATTTTAGCTTTTAATGAATAAATTTTGATTGATTAATTAAAAGATTGGTTGTTTTAAAGTTTTTTCCGTTTATTGGGTGATTGGTGGTGGTTTCTGAATGAAATATGGTGTTCCGTTGACAATGTTTGTTTAGATCACTTAATTTCCTGAATGGCTTCGAAGCTTACTTGTCAAACAGTGACTTCCTCTAAACAGCATAAGAACTCTTTCGCTCTTTGCCAATGGACAAAGGAGCTCCATCTAGCCTTTTTGTGAATGATGGCTCATTCATGGAGAGGTTTAAACAACTTCAACAAGGGACCGACAAGGGGAAGGACAAGGACAGAAAGGAAGCTGCATCTTTTGAGGAATCTAAGCCTCCCAAAGTTATAACTGGGGCTTCACTTCCCAAACCTCCTATTGTTAAAACCACCATGGAATTCAAGGCAAATGATACACGCAAGACTATCCAGCCTCCCTCAGGAGGCAAACTTGCATTCAGCTTGAAACAGAAGTCAAAACTTGTAGCACCTCCTGTTAAGTTGGCTGCAGATGATGATGATGATGATGAAGATGAGAAAGATGCAGGAAAGGGTTCAGATGACACTCCAGCGAAAAGGCTAAGGATGGGTCAATCAGCCCATGAACAATCATCAAATCAAGTGAACGTTGGTAATTACTGTTTACATAAAATTCACGCTTGTCTTGGTGGGCTGTGATTTCTGTTCCTAAGGATGCATGTGCCTGGTCTTTACCTTCTTATGCATTTTACCTTCACATTTTTCCCCTGCTAATTCCTTTTATTATTCAGTTTGTTGTCCTAGCGTCCCTAGTCCTTGTTAGAATGGAGTTCTGTTAATTTCTTAAATATCCTTCTGTTCCTATTACATTTTTCTACTGATCTATGAAACAAATTGATTTTTATGTGATTTTATTTAATTTTGACCATCCTGGTATCTTCTTCTCTATTTCAAACTCTTACTTTGTCCTCTTTATCTCTTGAAAAACTATCAAAAGAAGTGTGTGACTCAATGATCCGCTTCAGTAAGTATGGTATTCTAGGATATCATCTCGGTATTGTCTTCTCTGACCTTGAAGTGGTGTGTGAAGAGGACAAAACATTCTTGAATATTTCTTGTCTCATGAATGCAGCTAATACCTTAAGTACCTATCAACATTGGTGGAAAGAGATGTTCAATGAAAGATTTGGAATATGTGGCACGCCTGCTACAAGAGTAATTTGCATTCTCTTCTTCATGCTCTCGGTATTAATCAGTTTTATAAGTGATATGCAGCACCTTCGTCTCCTAGTGATCCTACTGTGAAGAAAGTTGCTGACAAACTAGCAAGTTTTGTTGCCAAACATGGAAGACAATTTGAGCATGTTACACGTCAAAAGAATCCCGGAGACACACCGTTCAAGTATATTCTCTTTTCTTTCATCTCTGGGAATTGCGTTTTCTATGCTCCAAGGTGTGAAGTTCCCGAGAATTTTATGTTTCATATATGTGTTACTTCTATTGTAGGTTCCTTTTCAATGAGAGTTGTGCAGATTACAAGTACTATGAATATCGGCTTGCTGAAGAGGAAAGAGCACTCTCACAGAACAAGGAATCCCAAAATCCTCACAATGGTCAGTACCCAACCCACAAATTTCTCCTTCACTGTATTTGATTTCTGATTTTTCTTTCACTTTGCTACAATAGTGGATAATCGGTTGGTGGGACCTATGTAGAAATCTAATTTCTGGCCTGTTTATGTTGGATGCTTTATGTAGATGGTATGAATGCTTCAGCTTCTAAATCCTCTAGTGGGTCGCAAAGGCCAGTGCACAAGCAATCAAGTTATCAAATACCTGCATCTGCTTTGTATGACAGTGCTGAGGATCCCAGAGTTTCTTTGTCTTCTGTGGAAAGAACTGGTAATGTTAATTTAGAAAGTGTTTTTCAATTTTCACGTGTTGATTGTTCAAGAGCAAAGTTTAGTAGTTCAGTATTGATGATTGGAGTCTCATTAGCCAGATTCTTGGGATGTGATAAATAGCTCTCTTTTTTTTTTTTTTTTTGAATGTACAATCTCTTTACTCTTCTGAATTTTACTTTAATCTAATGGGCCAACAGGTGCAGATCCCATAGCAATGATGGAGTTTTACATGAAAAAGGCTGCTCAGGAAGAGAAAACAAGACAGCCTAAACAGTCGAAAGATGAGATGCCGCCACCTGCTTCACTTCAAGGTTTTCTTTGCCCCTTCTTTCCTAATCACTGTGTGTTAGATATTATGCTTTATATCCTGATGAATCTTCTCCATGTTGTTGACTCAGCACCTGCTGCAAAGAGAGGTCATCACATGGGTGATTACATTCCACCAGAAGAGCTTGAAAAGTTCTTAGCCACCTGTAATGATGCAGCATCACAGAAAGCTGTCCAGGATATTTCAGATAAGGCAAAGATTCAGTCTGATAATGTTGGGCACAGACTCTTGTCAAAAATGGGTTGGAAAGAAGGTATAGTGTGGGTGTTTTGGCAGAGCTTATGAGCTAGTCACTGACACACACACACCCCACATGCAGAAACACTCACTCATGCCATGGCTTTTATGTGATTTGAGTTATTTTTATGTGATTTGGCTTTTATTTTTATTTGGGTTATTTGTTCTTCCTGAGAAAATAATCATGCTGTGTGGACTGCAGGTGAGGGTCTAGGGAGCTCCAAAAATGGTATTTCAGATCCCATCATGGCAGGTGGAGTAAAGAAGAATAACTTGGGGGTTGGTGCTCATCAGCCTGGTGAGGTGACTCCAGATGATGATATATATGAGCAGTATAAGAAGAGGATGATGCTTGGTTATAAACACAGACCAAACCCTCTGGTATTGTTCTTTCTTTTTGACAAACCAATCATTTCTTTGTAATTTGGAAATCAGTCCTTCCATGACACCTTGAGCACAATCAAGTTGATGTTTTTATTTATTTATTTATGCAGAACAATCCTCGGAAAGCGTACTATTGAATGAAGTCATGAGGGAGTTGCCTGCTTGTGGTGACAAAGTCTGTTTGGACTTTGGAGGAATAATTAGAAACTTAAATCTTGTTTTATGTTTTTTTCTTCTCCTTAGACTGATTCTGTACAATTCAGTGTTGAGTGAAAATAGTTTTGTTTCCCAAACGTTTAATTTAAAAATTAGCATATTGTTTTAGCTTGTGCTTTTGGTTGGTATGGCTGAGAGATGGACCTTTGAAATGAAGTGCTCTTTAGGTTGTTGATGGAAGCTTGGGTAATAAAATATAATAAATGACTCCTGGCAAAATGCTTCTCACGGTGGGCAGTGGGTTGAAAAAGAGAATTTGTTCTGTTGTGTGGCTTAAGCACGTCACAAAGGGCTGCAATTATTTTCAACCCTTTCCATCTTTTTCAAGTTTATCTATTCATTTTGCTTATGTTTGTATCAGTAATGTTTTAGGAAAATATAATTTTTTTATTATTTTATTTTTTAACACAATACTTTATTTTTTATAACAAAATTTAATTAACTAAATATACATACTTTTATACCGCCCTTCCTGCCCTGAAATTATTTTTTGGGTGTGTGTATGTTGGTTTAAATTTTTTTTTATATATATAATAACTCAATGTTATTCCCTCAAACAAAAACTTTATTAATATGGATCCAT